ATACGCCGGCCTGGCGGCGCGCATCAAGCGGCGGCTCCGCCGGCTGGCGCCCCTGGCCCTGCTGCGCGCCTACCACCGCCTGCTGGTGCCGGTGGCCGCGGGGCGCACCTGCTCCGCCGCCGTGCTGGCGGCGCCCAAGGAGGCGGCGGAGGCGGTGCGGGCGGCGTGCATGGCGTCGGCCACCGCCACCGCCACCGCCGCCGCAGCGGCCGCTGCCGCAAGGAGCGCGGCGCTGCAGGCCGCGGCCGGCTCGCGCGCCGCCGCCGCCGCCACCGCGGCCGCGGGAGCGGAGCTGTGCCTCCAGTACCAGCCGCTCAGGTGCGGCCCTGCGCTGGCCTGCCTGCCTGCCTGCCCGGCAGCCTGCATGGCTGGCGTCTGCGCGGCGCTCTGCTATGCAGGCGTGCTGCGTGGCCTGCCCTGCCCGCGCAAGCGGCTCTTCAAACCGAGCTAGTTCCTGCATGCCGCTCACTCGTTCTCCTCCCCACCCCCCGCCGCCCGCCTGCCTCGCAGCCTGCTTCTCCTCGGCTTCCTGCTCCCCACCTTGTACATCTGGGTCACGGAGCTGCGCCTGCGCTGCGCCTTCTTCGCCCAGCGCTGCCGCCGCGCGGGCCAGGGCTCGGCCGCCGCCTCCGAGGGCCAGCGCAGCCTGCGCGCGCTGGGCACGCTGCCCACGCTGGGCGATTACTGCATGTACTGCGTGCCCGCAGTGGCGGCCATGTACATGGTGAGGCGCGGGCGGGCGGGCACCCTGTTGGCTGGCTGCGGCGGTTGTTGGTTTTCTGCTGGATTATTAGATATACGGGGCGAGCGCGTACACTGTGCGCATGCCCGGTCCATCAGACCGCCACTCATTGGCGTCCCTGTTGCGTTTGGGGTGTGGCACCTGATGGCGCCGCTGCTGCGCCGTGCTGTGCAGTACATCGTGGTGCACGGCTGAGCTGGCGCGCGGCTGAGCTGGCGTGCAGCGCTGTGTCGTGGTGTCCAACAGTCTCGGGCTCCTTTGGAGCCCTGCTCCTTTGGAGCCCTGCAGGCGCACATCTGGTACTCCACCTGTCGTTCATCTCGCCCCTCAGCCGCCCACACCATACCACGAGTGACATGAGCGGGCAAACTATGTGTCCCCCTTCACCTGCTGCGGCAAGCCGCCCCATGCCTCTTCCAAGCACCCCCTTGCCGTCTGCCTTGACCCACACGCCACCCGCTAGCTGGACCACGGTGGCCCTTTCCCCTCCCGCACATTCCCCTCCTTATGAATCTTTACGAATGACCCAAGCCATACTTTCGTGTTCAACCTTGCCGCCTTGCATTTTCCTCTTTTCCCAAGCCCATACACGCCAGTGTAGGCACCCCCAACCACTGTAGGGAGCTGCTCGCCACCTTCCAAATCGTATTTATTAGTACTTCTTCTTTAAGTCTACCTCTTTCATTACTTCCTGTTGCGCCAATGTAGCAGCCACACAGCTGCCACTGCCGCAGCCCCTCACTTCACGCCCAGCCGGCGCAGCTGCAGGCGCACATTGCTGCACTCCCTGCCGATCGCCTCCAGGCGGCGCTCCACCTCGGCGCGGCGCCTGCGCTCCTGCAGCCACCACCGCCGGCCCCAGGCAGGCCGCATGCAAACTGGTCAGCTCGGGTTCAGCACACACCCGCAGCCACTCTTTGCTGCAGCCTTTGCTAACAAGCCACCCCAGCAAGCAGGCCGCCCTGCCCCAAGCAGACGAAGGCGGCGGTGTGTGTGGGTGTGTGTGTGTACCTGCAGCGTGCGGCCGGCGGTGTGGGAGGGCATGCGCGCGCTCTCCGCCTCCAGCTCGTTCCTCTCCGCATTCAGCGCCAGCAGGCGCCCCTCCAGCGCCTGCGTGCGGGCCAGCATGTCCTGCACGCAGCGCGGCGCAGCGCGGCGCAGCACGCACAGCGCGGCGGGCGTCAGGGTAGAAGAGGCGTTGGGAGCGCGACGGGGCAGGTGCTGGGTGTGCCGGGAGTGCCAACAGCGCCGCCGCTGTGGTTCATATGTTGTTCCAGGCTGCCAGCGACGTGCCGAAGACCTGGCTACCTGACCCCTGGAGGCTCACCTGGAGGGTGTCGTCTGTGCCGAATGGGCTGGCAGCGCCAGGCCCAGTGCCCAGTCCCACAGACTGCAGGTGTGCCGTCAGCTCCCGCTCCTCCTCCCCGCCACCCGGCTGCGCCACAAACGGCGAGGAGACGGAGGGCGGCCCAGCACGGCTGGACACACTGCAAGTGTCGCTGCCAGCGGGGCCAGCAGCTGAGGTGTAGCGGGCGCCGGCCGCGGCGGCGGGCTGGTTGTGGCGCTGAAACACGACGCGCAGCGCCCCGTCTGGGCAGCCGGCGCTCACGGCCTCCGCCGCCACCTGGTGCTGGGGCTGGAAAGCATGGTCCTGGTGCTGGTGCTGCCGCTGCTGCTGTGGGTGCACCGGGTGAGCTGGCGCGGCGCGGTACGGCAGCGCCTGCAAGCTGGCCCGAGGGTTCACCATGCCAGACTGCTCCTCCTCCTCCTCCACATTGGGTCCTCCGAACCAGCTGGCCGGGCCGTGGCTGCCATGCGCAGCATAGCCGCCGCCAAAGCTGCCCTCGTCTGAAAAGGGAGGCTGCGGCGCGTAGCTGTGGCGGCCGGCGGGCCCAGGCCCGGGCAGCTGCGCCAGGCGCTGCTGCTGGTGAGGGTGGTGCTCGCTGAAGCCGGCACCGCTGCCATGGGGAGCACCGCCGTGCTCCGCGCCAGCCCAGCGCGGCTGCTGGCCTTGCGCTGCCGGCGACGTGCCGTCGGCGCCGCCCCCAGGCTGCGCCTCCAGCTGGCGGCCGCTCGTGGCGCTGGCAGGCGGGGTGGTGCCGCTGCCGCGCTGGGCCGCGGCGGCGGCCGCCGCGGCAGCCGAGGCTGCCACCACCTCCAGCTCGCGGCTGCGGCTGCGCAGCGCCGCCGCCTGGCCGCGCGCCTCTGCCAGTGCAGCCTCCAGCCGACGCACCTCCGCCTGCAAGCCAAACGGCAAGCACGCAGCAGGCACTGTTGACTCCCCGGCCTCGTACAAGCACACACAACCCCCCTGGTACACTATATGAGTGACAAGGAGGCACCCAGCTGGCAGCCAAGCCAGGCATCAGGCGGCCACCTCCCACCTGCAGCGCCTGTGCCTGGCGGTGCAGCGCGGCGTTGTCCCGCAGCAGCGCCTCGCGCTCCCCAGCCGCCGCCTCCAGCTGCCTATCCCTGCTGCCCTGCGACACCTGCGCGCGGCACGGGGGGCAAGCCGGCCGCGTGGTTGCCGCAGGAAGCAGCGTCTGCGGCACGGCATCCCGGGACCCAGCACGCGAGCGTGCGCGCCGCCGCGGTGCTCCCCCGCCGCCGGCCAGTCAACGGAAGGCTGCAGCCCGCCAGGCGTGGCGGCCACGGCTACGCGGCCCCCACCTGCAGCGCCTGCAGCCGCTCCTCCAGGCCCCGTATGGCCACATCCCGCTGCGCCAGCGCCTTGCCCATCTCGCCGCCCTGGCGGCGCAGCGCCGCCGCCGAGTCGTCCAGCAGCCCGGCGTGGGAGGTGGCCGCCTCCAGCCGCTGCTGCAGCGCCTTGACCTCCTTCTCGCGCTGCAGCAGACGGGAGAGGAGGGGAAGGGAGCGGGGCGGGAGCGCCAGGCCTCTTGATCGGCAACGGCAGCGGGGCAGCTAACACTCAGTAGATGAGGCATGGCACCGAGGCGATGCCCCCCAGCCACCCCACAGCCAGCCACCCGCTCACCTTGAGCGCGTCGTCCCTGCTGTGCGCCAGCTCATCCGCCAGCTCAGCAGCGCGCCGCCGCTCCGCCTCCACCTCCGCCTCCCGCGCCGCCACCTGCTGCTGCGCGGCCGCCAGCGCGGCGGCGGCGGCCTCCGCCTCGCGCTGCTTGGCTGCCAGCCGCCGCTCCAGCCGCCGCTCGGCATCCAGGTCGCCGCCGGGCAGCTGGGTGCTGGCGCCGCTGCGGGCGGGCGAGTCCTGTCGCTCCGCTGCAGCAGCTGCTGCAGCCTCCAGGCGCTCCTGTGGGCGGCAGCATGCACCATTGACGTAAGCAGGCTGCCTAAGGTTGGGTCCCAAGCACAGCCAGCGGCACAGTGGCGGGTTGCAAGCGAGCGGGCGATGGAACGTGGCTGTCCTGATGCCCCACTCGCCCACCCACCTGCAGCTCCTGGCACTGGCGCAGCAGCTCGGCATTGTGCAGCTCCAGCTGGTGAGTGTAGGCGGGTGTGGCAGGCGTCAGGCGCTGCTGGTGCTGGCGCGGCGGCGGCGGGCCGTGCGCCGCTCCGTGCGCCGCTGCGCTGCCGCTGCTGCCGGGCGTGGAGTGGTCGGAGTGGCATCCGCCGCTCTTGGAGGGCGAGCTGGCCAAGGTCAGCTGGCCGGCTGTGAAGAAGACGGGAGGCTGTGCCGGGGCGGCGGGGTAGCCGTCGGCGGCAGCCCACTGGTGCGCCGGCGGCGTGGCGTAGTAGCCTCCCGATTCATACTGCTGCTCGTACGGCTCCCAGGGCGCGCCAGGCGCGGGAAAGCGAAGCGACGACGATTCCCAATTCGCGGCCATCTCCGGCGCTGGCAAGTGATCCAGGAGGCAGGGACGTGCTTGCCAAGCCCGCGCAAACCTGAATTCGACGCGCCATGGCCTTTGGGCAAGCTTTGGAAGACAACTCCGCGCAGCAGGCGGAGCAGGGCAAGGTTTTTCTCCACGTGTGGCCCCTCGGGCCCCCAGCACGCCTCAAGGGCAGTTTCAGGACTCGGTTGCGGGGTCCCTGGGGCCTCGCTATGACGCGTGGGGCTGAGCACCAGAGCTGTCGGGCGTAGAGAAGCAATGAAGTTCAAGACCGCCATATTGGCGGCCCTCAGCGGCGGCAAGCGCAGCTCGGACAAGTCTGGGAGCCGGCGGCTGGGTCTGGAGGACGAGAACAACAGCCCCCTCCAACCCAAGAGGCTCCTCACACCGGGCCTGGGACCCCCAGGCAGCTCCCGCAAGGGCCAGGCATTTGCTGACGTGACGGCCAGCGGCACGGTGAGGCCGCCGTGGGGGTGGGGGCCCCATGGCATGCCGCGGCACCTTCCTGCAGCTGCCGACAGCCCGGCTGTCAGAGAGGGCCGCTGGGCTGTGCTGGGCTGCGTGCCCCCTCTACTCTTTCGAGGTGATTTCAAACTCCTGCCTGCAGCCGCGGGCGCTCAACTATGGCGCCGCCTCGCCGCCAAAGGGGTCCCGCCTGCAGCGGGAGGCCAGCCTGGCACGGTCCAGCCCGTCTGGCCCTGCTATGCAGCCCTCGCGCCTGGGCTCCACGCCAGCGCGCACGCCCGCACGCCAGACCTCGCGCTTCGGCCACCAGCAGCAGCAGGCAGACGCCGCTGCTGCCAGCGCCGCCGACGGCGGTGCGCTCACCGACGCTTCCGACAACATCCGCGTCGTGCTGCGCGTGCGGCCCCGCAACGACCGGGAGAGCACCCTGGGCGGCGGCGTGGTGGTGCAGCCGGTGGGCAGCAGCGCGGTGCGGGTGGCCTCCCACCCAGAGCCCCACACATTCTCATTCGACTATGTGGCGGGGGATGCCACCAACCAGGAAACTATATTCACAGGTGCGGCCCAACATGCAGGCATGCCTGCCCGCATGCCTGCCTGCTGTGTTGCCCTGCCCTGCTGCCGCGGTGCGCGGCTGGCAGGTCCTGGGGCCGGGAGTCCCTCGCGGCGGCAGCCAGCTCCACGCTTTGGCACGCCTGCGCCCTGTCCTGCAGTGACGGGCAAGCCCATCGTCGACAACTGCCTAGCGGGCTACAACGGCTGCATATGTGCGCCACGCAGCCCGCCTGCTTGCTGGCTGTTGCTGGCCGTGACGGCATGCTGTGCTGCTGGGCGTGCGCTAGCGCTGCTGGATGCTGGGGCTGCTTCTGGTGAGAGCGGTCCAACATGCAATGCTGTCCTTCACTGAACTTTTGAGCCTCCCCTTAGCCTGCAGTCGCCTACGGCCAGACCGGGAGCGGCAAGACGTACACGATGCTGGGGGGCAGCGGCGAGGAGGGCGACGCGCCCGGCGGCGCCGGCGGCGCCGGCGCCGGCGCCCGCGACGACAGCCGCGGCCTCATCCAGCGCGTCTTCGAGCACCTCTTTGCCCGCATCGCGCGGGGCGGCGGCAAGTTCCTGCTGGAGTGTTCCTTCCTGGGTGAGCTGCCGCCGGGGCCGCCCCAGTGCGTGGTCTCCTGCCTTGCTAGCATGCCAGGCGCCTGCGCGGGGCCCACGCCGTGGCATGCCCGCTCCTGGCTCCTCGCACCGGCCCGAGCCACCTGTCCTCTGCCCCCGCCCTGCCCCCTCACCTCACCCCAAGCAGAGATCTACAATGAGACCATCACCGACCTGCTGGATCCATCCCGCACCAACCTGCATGTGCGGGAGAACCTGGAGGGGCAGTACGTCAGCAACCTGACGGCGCACGAGGTGTACCGCGGTGGGTGCGGGGCGGCACGGTGGGGCTGGGCGGGCTGGGTGGGCCAGATGGATGGTTGCGTGTCGAGCAGGATGGCTCCACGGTGCGCAGGTCGGCTGCCGACTGCTGCCAGTGTTGCTGGTGGTGCTTCTCCACACGCGCCTGGCAGCGCAGCCTGCTAGCGTTCCCCGCACCCCATGCATCACAGCCTGGCGTGCGGCGCTGCGCCTGGCCCGCAGTGGAGGACGTGGTGGCGCTGCTGCGCACGGGGCAGGCCAACCGGCGGGTGGGGGAGACCAACATGAATGAGCGGTCCAGCAGGTCGCACAGGTGCTGCCGGGGCCTGCTGCGCCATGCTGCGCCTGCTGTGGTCGAAGCGCACTCGAGCGATGGCCCTGCTGTGCTGTGCCTCCTGCCCCAGCCCCACCTCCGCTGCTTCTGCCTTCCGCGGTGTGAGCTGTGGCTGCCCCGCCCCTGAGCCTCCCGCTTCCTTCTGCGCCCTTTCCCCATTCTCCCCCCCTGCAGCGTGTTCACCTGCAAGCTGCAGAGCAAGACGGTTGACCAGTACGGCACCTCCCACATCCGCTGCAGCCGCCTGCACCTGGTGGACCTGGCAGGTGGGGCGCCTGGTACCTCCCGTCCCGCCTGTACTGCCGGGCAGGCGTGCCTGCTGCCTGCACCCCTCTGGCACGACTCAGCGCAGGCGCCCTCTCCCAGCCGCCAGCAGCAGCGGCGTGCCTGCCCTGCAGCAGGTGTCGGTGGCCGGCGGCCAGCCCCAGCTGCCCCGCTCGCCCTCGCCCTGCCTGGCTGCCGACGCGCCTGGCCGCGCCGCCACCTCCTCCCCCTGCAGGCAGCGAGCGGCAGAAGGCCAGCGGGGCCCAGGGGGAGCGCCTGAAGGAAGCCACCGCCATCAACAAGTCGCTCTCTGCGCTGGGCAACGTCATCATGTCCCTGGTGGACCAGCAGCACGTGGGTGGCGCGCAGGGCTGGGGGGCTGTGCCAGCGGGGGCCACGGGCTTGCGGGGCAGATGGGTTGGGGGCTGGGAGCGGGGAGGAGGGAATGGGCAGAGGGCGTGCAGCGGGGAAGCTCTGGTTCCGTCGCAGCGTCAGCGGGTGGTTGGAAGTCGGCGGGCAGCTGAGCGGCCCTCCCCGCTGGCAGGCGCGTGCCCAGCAGGACAGGGCGCAATCAATCCTGCCGCCCCTGCCCCCTCGCCGCCCCGCCCTTGCAGGGCCGCGGCCGCCACATCCCGTACCGCGACTCCCGCCTCACTTACCTGCTGCAAGACAGCCTGGGCGGCAACGCCAAGACGTGCCTGGTGGCCGCCGTGTCGCCGGCGGCGGTGAACGTGGCGGAGACGCTTTCCACGCTGCGCTTTGCCGACCAGGCCAAGCGCATCAAGAACCAGGTCACCCCTGGGGCTGCCTGGTGCCTGGGAGCGCTCGGCTTTGCGAGGAATGCAGGAGTGGGGGGGCATGCGGTTGGCGGGGTAGCTCTGCCGGCCTGCTGGACTGCGCGTGCGTGCCCGCTGGCTGGCATCCCACCGGCTCACCTCCGGTTTCGCCCTCCTCCCCCTGGTCTGCAGGCTGTGGTAAATGAGGACACCGACGGCGACAAGGCGGCGCTCAAGCATGAGATCAGGCGCCTGAATGAGGAGCTGGCCGCGGCTCGGCGTGCGCAGCAGCAGCTGGCGGCCGCCGCCCGGCCGCGGCGGAAGCGGAACCGACGTCTGGCACCCCCGCACGCCTGGCGGCGGCCGCCGACGCGCTGCTGGGCGGCGGCGCCTCGCCCGGCGTGGGGCAGGAGGGGCTGGGGCGACAGCAGCGCTGATG